CCCCAAAACCCCAAAACCCCAAAACCCCATTTATATCTAATAAAATTGATAAATTATACACAACCACTAAAATGCTCAACCTTCGAAGAACCCTTACCAAAACACTTCCTTTCCTCCGCTTGACCTCCCTTCCCCAAAACCTCTTCCTCCCCTTTTCAACCCCCTTCTGTACAAAGCCTCAAGTCCCCAGACCAGAACCTCTCGACCAAAAATGTAAGCTTCACTCTTAAAAATCTAGACAATAGAAGAGAAGTAGAAGACCTTCTTAAGAGAAAGTTCTTCCTGGCCCAGTCATTCGAGATTTATGGAGGAGTAGCTGGGTTGTATGACTTTGGACCTTTAGGGGCTGGGTTGAAGAATGAAGTTGAACAGATGTGGAGAAGGCATTTTGTGTTAGAGGAAGATATGTTGGAGGTGTCTTGTTCGACCCTGACGCCCGAGGAGGTGTTAAGGACTTCAGGACATGTAGAGAAGTTTGAGGATTTTATGGTCAAGGATGTGGTGAGTGGGCAGTGTTATAGAGCAGATAAGATTCTTGAGGACCATATTGATAAAGTTCTTCAGAAGAGAGGTACGAAAATGGAAGAAGAGGAAGTTGAAAGGCTTCAAAAGATCAGAGCTCAAGCTGATAGTTTTGATCGAAATGAGATTGCAGAAATATTGAAAGAGCTCAAGGTAAAAGCTCCAGATACTGGAAACCCAATTAGTGATCCAGTACCTTTTAACTTAATGTTCTCAACTCAGATTGGTCCATCAGGTTCATCAAAAGGTTATTTCAGGCCAGAAACAGCACAGAGTATTTTTGTAAATTTCAAGAGACTTCTTGAATTCAACAATGGTAGACTTCCATTTGCTTCAGCACAGATTGGCCTTGGATTTAGAAACGAAATTTCTCCAAGAGCTGGTCTTCTTCGTGTCAGAGAATTCACTATGGCTGAGATTGAGCATTTCTGTGATCCTTTGAACAAGAACCATCACAAATTTTCCTTAGTCAAAGATAAAACACTTCCCTTGCTCTCAAAGGAAAGACAATTAATCTTGGAAGATCCAACCACTGATTTGACAGTGGGTGAGGCAGTTGAGCAAGGAATCATCAATAACCAGACTCTTGCCTACTTCATGACAAGAACCTTCTTGTTCTTTGAGAAATGTGGCATTCCAAGATCAGCAATCAGATTCAGACAGCATCTAGATACTGAAATGGCTCATTATGCTTCTGATTGTTGGGATGCTGAGATAGAGACCTCGTACGGATGGATTGAGATTGTTGGTCATGCCGATAGATCATGCTACGACCTTGAATCTCATTCTAAACATACTAATACTGAGTTATTAGGATCTAGATTATTGGAAAGCCCAATTGAAGTTTCTACCACATACATTCTCCCAGACAAAAGAAAGCTAGGTAGAGCATTGAAAAGTGATTGAAAATTATTATGAGATTACCTTGATAGCTTAAGTGAAGAGCAAAAACAGATTATTCACAAGCAATATGATCAAGCTGAGAATGAGTTTGAAATAGATATTGGCAGTAAGAAAATTACAGTCTCGAAGGATACTATTGAAATTAAAATTGATAAGAAAATGTCAATGGAGGAAAAATTTGCTCCTCATGTTATTGAACCTTCATTTGGAATTGGAAGGCTTTGTCACTGAATATTTGAGCATTGATATCATAAAAGAGAACAAGATGAAGCAAGGAAATATTTCAAGTTCCCCATCACAATAGCTCCAATTAAGGTATCAATACTACCTTTGATTTCTAATTGAGAAGAGCATAATACTTTTGTTTTGAAGCTTAAATCAGATCTCAACTCACTTGGAATTTCTTCAAAAATTGACGAAAGTTCTCAAACTATCGGACGAAGATATTCTCGTGCTGACGAATGTGGGATTCCATTTGCAATTACTATTGATAATGAAACTGTTATCGAGTCTGTAGTTACCTTAAGAGAAATTCAATCTACAAGCCAAGTTTCTATTCCTATTTCGAAAGTAGTCGATACAGTGAAAGATCTATGAGAAGGAAGACTAAGCTGGGAAAATATTATTGATACTTATCCATCATTCAGAAATGATTAATAAAATTTCTTTCAAATCTTAATATTTTTTTAGGGGTTTTGGGGTTTTGGGGTTTTGGGGTTTTGGGG